AGACACCAGGTCTCAAATCTTATATATCTTGTGTATATATATATATATATATCATATTCTATTTTGTATTAACGTATTATCTGAATGAAATGAATCTGTAATCCTGTAGTTCTTTGCAGTTTGTTTATTTCTGTTTATTTGTTATTTGTGTGTATTTTTCTATAGATGTTGCAACTATACAGAGCTTTGGCAATGCTGTATGTAAATATGGTCATGCTAATAAAGCTATTGAATTTAATTGAATTGAGAGAGAGGGAGAGGAGAGAGAGGGAGAGAGAGGGAGAGAGAGGAGAGAGAGGGAGAGAGGAGAGAGAGGGAGAGAGAGGGAGAGAGGAGAGAGAGGGGAGATCCTTTTTAGTCTCATATGTGTCCAGAATTCAGAGTGTGTATTTCCATGTGTGTGTGCATGTGTGTAACTTACTGAGCCATCTCAAACTGCTCCAGCCATTTCTTCTTCAGTTCTCTGGTTTTGAAGAACAAGTCGTATCCACACTTCCCGTAGCAGTCCAGCAGGAGGAACACATAGGACCACTGTGGACCAACACACACACTGTTAGCTCTACGCACGCCTAATGGATGAACTGTGTGGTGTGCCTGATGTCACAGAGTAGCAGAAAGACCTTCTTGTTGTCCTTTTCTCCTGCCGCTTCGTCTCGTATCTGGTAGTGCTGTAGTTCAACGATCTCCTTTAGCTCAAACGTCTCTCCGCCCTTCTTCTTACAGATGAACATGGCCTTGTCGAAGAGGAATGCATACCTGAAGGACAACCAAACACACAGATTAAACTAAACATCACATACATGGAATTGAAATGAATACAAAACACGCTGAGACTAATACCACACACACCTGTCCTGTTTAGACTTTTTCTCAGGACTGCAGATCTTCAGCTCTCCGTCGATCTTAGGGCGACCATAGAGAGCTAGAGACTGAGTCTGAAGAGCAGAGGACAGTGAGCGTGGCCAGGAAGAAAGACATCTAATTAAAAAATAAAGACATTAAAAGTGAAACATGTAACCTCACCATGTTTTCTATCGACAACTGGAAAGTTGTTATCTGTCGGATGATCTCATTGTCTCGCTTCACCTCGTTCACACACTGCGCCAAGTCCTGCAAACACACACACATGGAAGAATGTTATATCCTAAATACTGTAAATCTACAATTATTAGCCAAGGTATTTACTATCTTTGAACATATTCAAATGTGGGAAAGGTCACTAGATACGACAGGCCTTTAATATCTTTCCTACAAACTCAGACATTAAGGGAAAGAGGTGAAAACTATGAACAAAGAAAGGTGGGGAGCAAGGTCATTAACAACATGGTGCAGGAATAAAACTAAATATTGTTGCCTAGTTTAAATATGGTTAATTTAGCAAACAGTGGACACAATGGACTTGACATCACCACATTTAAATCCTATGTACTTTTTTTTAATGAATAAGATGTTAAATTGTGAGGAACAGACACATATTCAGACTTTAAGTACGCTTCAAAGACAGTCTCTTTGGTTTACCATGCCAATAAACTGAATTAATTTCACTATTGCTCATGATTTTTGTAAAAGGAAATTAACATATGAATTGTGGAGAATCTCTGACCTATCAATGCTTTATAGTCATTAGCACGTTAGCTACAGTGTAGATATGGCAATGAAAAACTCAGGTCACAGGCTCCTCCAATGTGTAACATGTTCATATTTACCTGCGTTTAATTGAGACCTGAGCTTTTTTTAAATGTATCATCTAATTGGGGATTTTAATTTAATTTTGTACAGTATACATAGATACTTACTCTCATGGCATCAAGAGCTGTGCGGAGGTTCTCCTTATCTGCAGCGTCAGTGGTGTGCTTCAGCAGCTCCTGGAGCACAAACAGAGGATTAATAGATAGACTGGAAGATCGAACACACACACACACACACACACACACACACACACACACACACACACACACACACACACACACACACACACACACACACACACACACACACACACACACACACACACACACACACCTGTAACAGCAGGTGATATTTGAGGACCCTCTGCATAGGGACCATGAGTAAATCTCTGAGAGAAAACCGTCGACTATTTGCTCTGTTTGAACACTCCTGGGAGAGAATAAGAGAGAGAAAACAGGAAGTAAACTTCTGCAGTAACCACAGATGTTGTGTTTAGATGATGTTGTGCAACAAACCCGGCCTTCCCTCCTGTTTTCCTTGTGGCCAAATGCAGTACTTAAACAAAAAGATCCACCACTGCCCAGAGAGCTTTTCCCCTGAAGATCATTATAATAATGATCTTCTTAGTTCAGAATAAATCAGTACAATTATGAACCGTTAACAACCCGAAACCACTCCATACAGTACCTTAATCAAAAAACACTTCTGCTCTGTGCAGAATTATACTTCCCCTGTGCTGCTGTGTTTGAAAGTCTTCCTCACCTCCAGTTTCATTCTGATGTCCTCTCTTGTAGTCGAAAGCTTATCCAGGGTTTTTGTTGCAGTTTCCACCTGACTACAGTAATGACCGTACAGTAATAGCCTGGGGGGGGGAGAGTATATAAGAACACAAGACAACATACGTGTATTTGTGGTGTGAGTGTGTGGTGGTGTTTGTGTGTTGTACCTTTCCTTGTAGCTCAGAAACACCTGGTACAGGTTCTTGGCTCCATAATCTAGGATGGAGCTCCGGACCTCTGCCAACATTGTACGATGAGTGTTGGCCAACTCCTACAAATACACGTTCACATAAAAACATGTAAACAAGGCTTGATACATGAAGGTGAACATACACTGTTACTCCTCTCGTACCTCTATGTTGATGAAGATACTCTCAATGTCTTGCTCCTGGAGAAACTTTTGAAGAGGCTTCATAAAGTGCTGCAAGAGAAAAAAGCTGTTAGTCAAAATTAATGTATGCTTGTGTGTGTGATTGACTTATTCCGTGTGATTTATGTGTGTGAACATGCATATCTTTCGTCAGACAGTGATCTTGTGCTCACCTGTAATATAGATTGCAGTGTATCCGAGTATTTCTCTTCTGTCTGTCTGATCTCCAGCAGGCAACACTCTCGTTTGTCCACCCCAATCTTCTGCTGCTGCAGGAACACACACAAATATGTCATATAAAACATGAAGAGACCAGAGCAGATGATATTTAAAGTGGAGCTATCATGCTATTTTTAGGCAATAGCATAGGTCTCAGACATATACAAATATATAAAAAATATGTCTATGAAGTGTTTTGCTCAAAATACCAAACAGATCACCCATTCTAGCCATGCCTCATATCCCTCTATTTCACTTCCTGTTTCAAAAGTGCCGATTTTGAGTATAAAGCTTTAAAAAAAAAAAAGATTGATAAAAAATAAAAAAGGAGGGGGCTGAGCTCATGCGGGACCCGGCAGCTACTGTCTAAACTAAATACTGCCGTGATGAAACACCATATCATGGATTATCAAGGAGTATTTCTGAAACAGTATGGAGCTCAAAGGCTTTCTCTCTTGCCGGTTATACCACAAGGTGAGTTCCTTTTTATTTCCTGCTTCTTCACACACATGCTCTCCAGTACAGGTTAGCTCTGAGTGTTAGCGATGCTAATGTAAACATGCACCGACCATATTACGTCCAAAACAGTCGGGCATTGTTTCTGATAGCCACTTTCTGATAGGCCCGTGGGTGTAAAGCCAGCCTACATTTCCGATATTACGTCATATCGGACGCAAGTCAGCTCCGTTGTAGCCCCGTTTTTAGAGATTTGGGTACGGAGGAAAAGAGAGAGGGTTTTATTTTCTGACGCTGCGTGAGTTCCCTGACACACCGGGGACACATCTTTATGTAAAAAAGACATCAAAAAGTGCATTTTGCATGATAGGTCCCCTTTAACTTTTAAGGGTGTACACTAACTAAAGTCCTAGTGATGATTTGACGGCCATCACTCAGTACTGATGTAATGCAATTTGTCTCTATACTTTAGACTGGGCAGACTTGGAGGCCGATGCCCACTCCCATTACAGCGAAAGCAGAGCAGAAACCCATAAGTCTTTGTGAAAAGAAGAGGAAAACGAAGGAGCCAGCTACACTTAGCGCTCCAACACGACAAAAAGTGTAAAAATAATCCAGCATATAATAATTCCATCCCAAATGGTCTTTTAAAGACACGTTACAGACGTTAATCATGAATGTAAGCGAAGTCAGCCAACCTCAACCGGGATGTCCAGCGTTACTCTGTGGCGTTAAAATTACAGCCGTGGCCGGAATGAAGGAACGAATTCTTATTATTGTATTTCAAACACAACTAGGTACAAACCTTCTTAAACGTATATAAAACAACGTCAACCTGATGATTTTGATGTTTTAAACCAAGAGGCGTGATTTATTGCTCTACAACCTGCTCGTCTGTTTACCTTACTGACCACAGTCACCTGTTCAGGTTTGGCTAATGTTTTGATTCCATCCTGTATTAATATATACATTTTATAAGGTATAAAAAAAAGAAACGGCACAGTTTTTATTCTTGTATTAAAAAGATAAAACTGCAGAGAAATCCAAAGAATATTTTCAATCTCTTACTTTTTCCAGACTTGCATTATTTAATATTTTAAAGTAGGATACTTTACACTCAGGGGTGCACATAACTTTCTCAGTGAGGTACTCAGATGAGTACCTGGAGTCAGTGTTTGGTACTCCAACTTCTGNCTCTGTTTACTTCCAGTTCGGAGGCAGCAGGTCCCGCCTCGGCTCCGCCTCTTTGCCCTTATTTGGAGCAGGCGGGATTAGACTCTGACGTAGCTGTCATTGACAGCTACGTCAGAGTCTAATCCCGCCTGCTCCAAATAAGGGCAAAGAGGCGGAGCCGAGGCGGGACCTGCTGCCTCCGAACTGGAAGTAAACAGAGCTAGCTCAGGCTAAGAAGCTAAGCTAACATGAAATACATGCATACCAAGTTACTGCTAACAGTGAGGCATGTACATGTCCATCAAAGTGACCACGCCCTAATTTATGCAAAAGCTTTAAGGCTTAATATTAATTAAACAGATGAGTTGAGAAAAAATTCACCCCCCCAATCCATATTCATGAAGGGGGGATCTAACTATACAGAGAATATGGTTTTTTGAACCACGATGTAAACATGTTTAATTCTGCTCTAAAGTTGGGCATTTTAACATTGGGGTCTATGGAAATTGCTCCCTTCTGCAGAATGTTCCTACTGGCCACTAGATGAACTGCAGTTTGAGGCACTTCCGCATTGGCGTCCCGGCTCTTCCCCAGAGTTTGCCGCTTGGTCAAGATGAGTTAACTTTTTTTGCCCTCAACTTCTGTGGAAAAATGCGGGGATTATGCGGCCTTTTGATAAATATGCGGCTTTTTTAAAATCTGCGCCATTTTGCTGATTATGCGGTAAATTCTGTGATCGCAGAATCGCGTTTTTCTGGAGGGTCTAGTACTTGTATCACTGACTGCTGTTGTTATTTCCTTTAGAAGATACTATCAGTTTTACTATAAACACACACAAACCTATCTCTGCGGGTTACTTGAACAACAAAACAACCGTAAAATCTTACTGTATTGTTGAGTAAAAATAACTATGGCTTTTTTGGGCAGATTTGAAAGTACTTGTACTTGTTTTCTTGAGTATTTCCATATAATGTTACTTTTTACTTCTACACTTTTACAGAGACAAATATACATCCAAATTACATATTTTTACTTTAAAGATTGGGATACTTCTTTAGTACTGCACCCTAATATCCATCTGTGTTGATTGATTACTTTATTAACAGAGTTTCAAAAGCAAAATTAAGTGTTCAGAGGAGGCACTCGAAATGTACATAATATTTAGCGACAAAATCACATTAGCTCATGAAAGCAAAAAAAAAAAATACAACATCAGAAGAAATCTTGTATTATACCTGTGGACTTGCAAAGTGTATTCCAGTTAAAATGTATAATTCAAAGATATTTATAGAGTAATGTAAGTCATATTCAACAAAATAGGTAGCAAGACTTGAAAGTGCCAAGAAAAGCACTGGGTGATTTAAAACAGAAGTATCATGCCTACTATCAGCAGCGATGCACTCTGCGAGTACCTCTGCTGAGGCTAACACTCATTAAAAACAGGAATGACGCTGCAGGGGCCATCGGCCAATTACAAGGTTGAGGATTATGCGGCTCCATCACTTTTAAATTGACAACACAAGTTACCCAGATCTATAATTATACTTCTCTTATCTGCCGTTACATATAATGATGGAAGAAACTTGAAGGCTTCTCTGGGCTAGTTTTAATGAGTCCCCTTTTTTTAAAGACCACAAAATGCCACCAATTTAAGTCCTGCCAATGCTATCCATTTCAAGTTGAGAAACACCCGCGGAGAGGAGAAAACCAACTCGTTGACCGGCAGTGTCAGCAGTTAAGAAGCCAGCGTGAGCCGGCTCATTCTTCGTGGCAGGGTTCAGATTAGAATTCACGAAATAAAAGTTTTCTGGCATGAGATGATCATGGTGTCACTCAAACCTTTAATTAAAATAAGAATAGTCCACCGTGCAGAAGCACTGTGTGATTCTTAAAGGGGAACACCATCGATTCATCAATCCAAATGTTCTTTGCGATTAGCAGAATTGTGTGGCATTGGTTTAATAAATATGAGCAACTCATATCCAGAAAATTCAATCAGAATAAATGGAATAAGACAATCTGAAATATCTCACACTCTATCACTGTTGTTAGCTTTAAGCGGTTTATAGACAACTTTAATCACTCATAAAATGACACAATTGCTTTAAATTTAAATTGTGTTGCATCGATTTCCTATGTAACAACTGCCGTCATCCGTCCTTACATTCAAATGTATCCAACAGCATCATGGTGCACAATAATTTGCTAGCCCTAACCCTAAACCCTCCAAAGCAGGATTATACAGTAGCATGGGTAACATTTTGGAAATCCCCTAACCTGAAAACTGGTTTAATTTATTTTTTGTGTGTGATCAAAATGTTTTTAATTGATTAAACAAATGGTACAATCAATAACATAAAATGCAATACAGTACAAAAAACAGCACAAAACTAAAGAAAGAAACAAAACCCAGTGACGTACCTCCCCACCCACCCATCCAGATCACCATCCCCATTAGATAGTTATCCTAATATGCTCTTGAGGTTCACAATGAGCGAAGTCCACATCTCTATTGTTGACTCCTTTGCCCCATGTACCCGGGCTGTCGATATTTCTAGATACGATATGTCAGGGACAACCATCTGTAATTAATGTATTTGTAGTTAGCTGTAGACACAACATTGATATAGTAGGCTATAGCTTATTTTATCTCGTTCACAAATGCTTTTTTACTAATCTAGCAAATAAGGAGCAGCAGCATTTTCATTTATTTTTAGTCATGGCAAATACAAGTCTATTATAAACTCTAATTTAAGCTCTGTTTTGGTATCCTCCAACTCATAACAAAAATATCTGACTCTTTAGCTATCAATGCTCCACTTTGTGCACCAGGGGACTATTTTGATGGCCATTTATTGTTGGTATGTAGCAGGGGCGGACTAGGACTAGAAATCAGCCCGGGACTCTCGACCGGCCCGCTTCGGTACCACCGGCCCACCTCGGTGCCGCAAGTAAATACCGCTAGTACGTTGTCGACGGGGGGGGTGCTAGTGACTTATCTGACTGGCCCACATTGACCAACCGGTCCACTTCAGTAGTACCCTGGTAGGTAGCAAACCTTTGGATGGAAAGAGATGATGGCCACCCGACCCAAACAATGAGCTGAGATAAACAGTAGTATAAAAACACACAACCCATGTTACTAAAACCAATTTTGAAATATGTTTTCTTTAAAAAAGAATCCAAATTATTCATAAATGTTTTTTGTGAAGTACAATGGAACAATCAGTTGTCATGTAACACATACTAACCAAGTCAAATTGGGTTTTTACAGATAAACAAACATGAATGAAAATATAAAAATATATGATTACAAGATCACAAGATAGAATATAAAATACAAATACAATTGAGTGAAAAAAAATACAATAAAAACGACGAAATAATAAAAGCCCCTACTGTACTAAGCCCCAAAGCCCCCCTTGGCGGGGGCTTTTTTTTTTCACGACACTGTGTCTCAGGCAGAGGTCGCGTTAACCAAATATTTTCCGTCTATGACGGATTTTGTTTAACAATGACGGAAAAATCTGAAAGCAGTCCGTCATTTTGACGGATTAGAACAAACTCGGAACAGCGCCAAAGTTTCCCCGCAGCGAGGCTCCGGTGCATTTGGCATGCCTGCCAAAAAGGAAGTGATACCGTTTCAAAACCCAACTTTGCCCTACAAATCATTGAAATGTCTGTGAGTTTTGACTTTACGTTGTGCGCACTCCCGCGAGGTGCAGTGGGAATGCATAACACGGCGCTAACAGTTCACGAGCATGCGCCCCGCCCTCGTTGACAGTTCACGACCGTGCTCTCCCCCGGCCCCCCACCGCCGGTTGACAGTTCTCTCTCTCCCCTCTCCCCCAGAGTCTGAAAAGCCGACGGGTAATACTGAATTTTGGTGGAAATTTTAAGATCCTGTCCATCAAAATGATGGGCAGGGAAAAAGTCTAGCACAACTTCTGGTCTGGACCGCTGCGTAGAAAGGAGGGTTTCTGCCCGTTACTTTTCCGCTGTTTTCTTGTCGCTCTTGTCTTGTCAGTTAGAAAAGCAAACTGCAGGCAGTTTGCTTTTCAGCCAAACTGTATAAAGCAGAATTTAACGGACTTCTTTGTGCAGATGTGAGCGTCCTTAACAACAGTCAATAAATCCTTGACAGCGGTCTGTCTGTTCTGGATTAACAACGTGTCACGTGTTCTGAATTGACTAATCAGAATCGAGTATTCAACAAAGCCATGTAATAATGTTTTTTAACGGACGTTGTCTGATTATATAATCATATGCGCGGGCCGCTAGTGTCTGTTGATCTCCAGATTAACAGCAGCATGAGAATAACCTGCCCAAAGTGCCGATGCTCCATGGCGAAGGATCCGCTAGAAATTGCCGGGATTTGCGTTTTTACCCCCTTAATATCTGACCAATGGTTGAACAGCATTTCCGAGCACATAACTTGTGTTTAAAGTTTATAGTCCGTTTGACTTTTGCCCGTGTGAACGCAAACCGAACCTTCTGAAAAATGAAACAATGTAAAAAACTATGGTCTGGTGCGCACCAGAGAGCAGACTATTAGGTGTGAATGGACCCTAAGAAGCGACAATTGGAAGGTACTTGAATTTTCTTCATAATTTGGAAATATATCAAAGATGCAGTAATGTGTGAAATATTCTTTGTTCAAATTAAGTTTCATTTAACAACGACTTGAAGGTTCACCAAAACACTATACCCTGACCAGTTAGGCAATCGTAAGTTTGAGGAACAACATGTGAGCCTCCACATTGTAAATATGATATTACAAATAATCCTTATGACAACTTAAATTGTTTTTGGGGGAAGTAAGTCAAAACTAGTCAACAAAAATATAGGAAAAATAATTACAGCTGCATTTTTAAACCAGCTTCCGTATATACAGTATCTCAACAACCTGTTTTTTGCCAGAATGTCATTCTTTGGCTGTAACAAAATAACATTGTACCCTTGAATGAAGCATTTTAACAAAACCTACAGTACTGTAAACCTTTCTGCAGTAATATCTGTTGACTTAACATTATTGAACATTACATCCTTTGAGCTCTGCATGCAAGAGGACAAGTATAATATATATAAGATGTCACAACATGGGAGCCGGCAAAATCTATTTCCTTCTTCAAAAAATAAACTCACGGGGAAAAAATGTGATTTCCCATCTTATCTTCCTCCACAGGAGAGTAGATGAAGGCATCTGAGGGGAAAGTGCTTCTGAATAATTCCTTGACAAATTAAGTTTGCATCGACAACAAAAGGTTTCCGTATATATATCTGAACCAGATCACGAAGTGCAAGATGAAAGAGTTTGGTTCTGGGTATTAACATGTAATAGACATGGAGACCTTAATGCAAGACAGCATACTCTAAGTGAATATTGTTCAAGACATATCTGTTTTCACACTATACAACCTACCACATCACATTGCAATATGTAGGAAATACTGGAATAACACACATTTTCTATGTAGAAACTCTATGTTGTCATATCATATCAAAATGCATATTGCACATGGCACAATAAAAAACACAAGCTCACACTCAGAGAAAGCAGCCCCCCCTCTCCTACCCACACTCTGACACAGTGAAAAAGTGCTGATGGGATTGCCGAGTTAAAGTTGAGTTACCAAAGCTACTGCAGCTTGACACAATGTATGTTTAATCTGGGGTTAAAGCAAATAGAGCGAATACCCAAAATGGTGCCAAGAATGTAAAAGCACTCTGCTGTTATAGAGTAGAGTTGTATTGTGCAAAAATGAAACTTTAAAAGTGCTGTAGTAATGATGAATGATGTACTGCTGAGTCTGGGCATCTGTCAAAAATAATGGATGCTCTGGAGTCACTGAGAGATCCATTGCATATTAAAAGCGGACAAAGTACATATTCCTGCATTTGGTTTGAGCCCACTCTCTTTCATTTGTCAGTTTACCCGAAAGTACTCTTAGGGGTATAATGCACATATATACATTTTATTCAATTTATTTATATAGTGCCGAATCATAACATAAGTTATCTCAGGGCACTTACATCCAGACCATATTAATAATATTTACAGAGAACCAAAAATTCCCACGAAGGACAGCGAGACATGATGTATATCAAATATAATCAACACGTTTAGTTTTACCTTGGGTAAATTTTCAAGCTGTCAAGCAAAAACATATTATCGTTACACATATATATTATTCTGAAAGTAATCGTTCTGCATAATGAGTTCTTATTTTACATTAAAGTGGACCTATCATGCTATTTGAAACATATATTGTAGGGCCATACCTATATAAAACCTGTCTGTGAAGTTTTTTTTTCAAAATACCAAACAGATCATGCATTTTAGCCATGCCTCATTTCGCTCTATTTGCTCTTTTCCAGCCCTGTTTTTGTAAGGGTTGATTCTGCGTTTGAGGCAGACTACAGCGCCACCTACAGGCCTGGCATATGTACTACAGCGTCTCCAGCGCTTTCGAGCGGTCTCTCATTCCCCTGATAGGTGGAGAGTTGCCCATATAGGCGGAGCACCCCTTTTCTGATGTCAGAAAAATTCAAATAATAATCAGCTCCGTTGCAGCTCCGTTTTTAGAGATTTGGGTATGGAGGAAAAGAGAGAGGGTTGTGTTTTCTGACACTTGGTGAGTTCCCTGACACACCAGGGACACATATTCATGTATAAAAGACGTACAAAAGTGCATTTTGCATGATAGGTTCCCTTTAAATATCATTTTGACGCTAGTACTGTTGTAATTTTACTTAAATAACATGTTGAAAGCAGGGTCAAACTGAGTATTTCTACACTGGGGTATTTTTACTTTTACTTAAGTACAAGATCTAAGTACTCTTTCCACCTTTGCTTATGCTTTCTGAGTCTGGATGACCCAATAGACACTCCATACTTTTACAATGTACATGTTTGCACTGTCAAACAGTATTACAGAGGCCCCATCCAATCATATCTGCATTATCTGTAGCCATTCTATTTCATCCTATCATATCTTGTTGTATTCCTTTGTCATGTGTGGTGTGCCACATGGCTCAATTGGAAGACCACTCTAGTGTTTTGTTTACTCTCAGCAACATCTCTAGCAAAAATAAATTGAACACCACCAAACTTATTTACCAATAACATCAGCGGGAAATCCCAATCTTGTACATGTCATTTACAGCCTTGATCAGATTTATTGCTGAATGTCTGATGTTCCTTCATTTTATTCACAACAAATTGCAACCAATATGAATCAGTGACCTCCTCTTTGTCACTTCATAAGGCAACTTTACCATGCCTTTATTTTATGCCATTCAATCACATTTGATATATATTCAGGTTCACACCAGAGATCTCCTTCTCTTTATTGTAATAACTTCACATTGCAGCAATAAGCTTAACAAATTCAAGCAAGCTTGCCCACAATAATTCAATTTGTGCCTCCCTTCACTAGCTTTCAGAATTGGTTTCAAAATTGTAATAATCATACATTAAATGGTACATTAGGCCTAGGCCCACGACACATCTGTGAACTCCTGACCCTCTATGAGCAGGACTACAGCCTCAGGCCCTCTGGTTAGATTCCCCTTGCTGTGTCTAGATCCAGGTGAAGGCTTTCCTGAGGATTAATCAATATCATTCAATTTTTAATTCCAATCCTTAGGTCCAATGCTTCCTCTCTCAATTGTTTTCTGTCCTAAACTCTTTAATTTCTCATTCTATTTTTCAAGGATCCATCCACCAATCCATGCAGAAAGACGCCACATGATATTGCTCAAGTTATGGGAGCATTCATCCATACATCCATGCACCGTGTCCTACCTGTGACTTTGAGCTGAGTCGTTCGTCGCACATGTCTGGAGCCATACTGTAACTCACAGGTGTAATTTCCCCCGTCACCCTCCTCCACCTCAGGAATCCAGACGTGTGTAGTGTTAACAATGATGGAGCTTCTCCATTCAACCCGTTCACACTCCTGAGAAGAGACACATGCTGATGAAGTGGAACAGACTACAGAAGAATAAAAGATGTCTTGAGTCTTTTTCTGTGTCTTACCTTATACCAGGTCATCTGTGGCTGCTTGTATGGAGCCAAATAGTCCCCTATATCAGGACAGATGATCATTTTGTTGTGGGTTATTTCGGCTTTCTCCACGTGTCGGATTTTGCTGCTGAAGCATTTCCCCTCATCGCTCTCGTCCACAGTCATCGACATGGACACTTTCATGCAGTATGTTGAGTTCCTGAAGAGATTAAAAACACAACATTGTCTACATTTTGAATATGTTCTTTTACTGGACTAATTGATTGTCTCATTTGAAAAGGATAACCACAAATAATGATGTCCCTCCCTACTCTACAGTTCCTGTTAGCCCTACATTGTTTTAGCATTTTCAGTTATGCTATTGATTTTGGAATTGCGGGTCACAATTTGTACTGCTCTTTTGTGTCAGTCGTAGCAAGCATTGTTTTTTTTCAACAGACTCTGACAAAAAAAGAACATTGACACCATACTTGCCCAGGATCAAACAAAAGACACACAAGCTAGCAGGCAAACATAGCGGCTAGCATTCAGAAGCCTAAAAGCCACTAATTTTCCTCAGAAGATTACTGAAGAGTGGTTAACAGGCAAGTCAATATTGGAATTACAATTATCAGGTACCCAGAGTCTCGACTCCACATAATAATAATAAATACTAAAATGTTTTTTTTGTGACATAGTGTCATAAAGCCACATTTTTCCACCAGGTTAGCACACCTAATGCAATCATGGCTCTTAATTGGATCAGGTGTGCAAGAACAGAACTAAAGCACAAACTTAAAAGACAGGTAGGCTCTGTGGATAAAGGTGTCGTGTTTGTAACGGAGCATTGCTGGAGGATATAGATAACACAGTACATCCATCCTTGAAGTTACTTGTGATGTGTTTGACGCAATGTGTTTAAAAAATTGTTTTGAAGTCCCAAA